ATTTGGTCCAGTGAATGTCCGCCTGGACTTTGAAACCAAATTGAGTTTTTCTCCGGAGACTGCTGCTTATTGCCTTATTTTGCACGATCGAGTAGTACATTATAACCCCATAAGCGGAGGGGTGAAGAAAGTAGGGGAGTTAAGGGAAGTTAAGTTAAGGGAAGGGGTGGGGGATATAAATTCTCATGTGAGTAGCATCATTTCATTAGTCACCATGTAGCTACTCGTGTACATACAAAGCTTCCAAACTTTCTTCAACGAGTTTATTGTAAAAGAATTCACATACACAGTTTTGGATTCTGGGGTTAGATACCCTAACGTCTGGTTTTTCAAGCCCCCATGGAGATTCTCCAGTTTACCAGCGAAGCATAGAAGTGTAGCTTTGTAGCTTGAGCGTCATCATCATGGATTACCCTGGGATTATGGAAATAGATCATAGGAGAAAGTTGGACAATTAGTGCAAAAGTGGGAAAATATTGGTACAATTTATGTGAAAGGTGAAGAGAAAGAAGAGTGGTTGAAAAAAATTTCTGGTCCTGTATTAGCACCGCTAGTAGTTAATATTGAAGAAATTTTCCATGATTGCCCATCACTAGCCAAATTCAACGATTTACCATCTCGTACTTGTCCATTTCATAATTATAGAGACGACAACAAGGCATGTGCCGTAAAAAATGTGGAGCTACTCAAAAACTGGACGATGAAGAAAAGAATAGTACGATCCGTAGATCGATCCTTCAATATTTACTACAAATTGAACAGTTTAAATTTGATGCATTGTGAAGATATTGCATATCTGCCACATTCATTTATAGGTTCCATCGCTGCATGCCATGATGATCAGGGTTAGGACAAGTTGATTGATGCTATGAGAGCTGATTGGTATATCAAAAGATGTAGACGTTGTTTGGAAGATTATCATAAAATCGATGGTGATACTTTTGATGGACTACCCCCTATGATAAGAGATTGTGTAATGTGTAATAATTCTTTAAAAAAAAAACTTTTAATTGTAATATTTATTTATGTACTTCTTATATTTTCATGATTATTAGTTATAATCATAAAAATTCTCATTTTGTAAAGAAAAGAATTTTGAATAAAGAAAAAAGTGAAAATTTTATTGTTCTATTTCATTTGTAATTTCAGTTATAGCCCCCCTCCTCATCTGCATGAATTTGATTTCGTTGTATTCGCCACCCAAGAAAAATAAAACAAAAAAAAATACCGTTCATTAATTTTGAAAATGATACTGTTCCTTACTGAGGATAATTTTATGGACTGATGATGAGCATTGAATTTTCTTGGGTTATTTACAGAATACCCCACTCCTTGTATATTCATTTTTTAAGAACAACTATGAGTATATATATACAGGGTGTCCCATCTGAAAAGATGCGGCTAAATATCTCTCAAGGGGTAACAAAAAAATGTTTGATACAAAAATTGTAGGGTTTCGAGGGGGACGTCCGATGTTGTTATTATTTTCAGCTATCAATCTCACGCTTGCAAGCTGCAAGCACAAAGTTTTTTTTTTCAAATGACAATCGTATTTTTTACCCTAATGAAACTTGTTCATCTTGATGAGTTCTGTGGTCGAATTCAAGATTCAAACATCCTTGGCCCATCTTGGTGTAATTGTTCCATTCATCTGTTTACACACCGGAATTATCAAATGTAAACAATAAACAAAACATTTCCCTACTCCTTCGAGGATTCTTTTATTCTAATCGGTGCCAATTCAACCCGAATCAAGTTAGTATCACTTGTTATTTCATTGAACACATCACGATGTATTCAGCCAGTGAAATTGTCGATATTTTACTTGTTTTGGGAGAGTGTAGGGGAGTGTATCGAGCCGCTGCTCGAACATATCGAGAACAGTACCGCAATCGACTACATTATCCTACAGATTTAGTTATCCGGAGGATCGAAAGGAGTTCGAGCAGAAATCGAGTAGAAGAGGGAGAATCCTTCGAGGACGACAATAACAAGTACAACAAGGTATTAATCCTGATGATCTCCGAGTTATTGCAATATAAGCTATGATTCACATGAATCCTCACGTCAGTTGGAGAGAAATTGAACGGGATTTAGGAGTACCACGGAGTAAAGCACAAAGAATTCTGCGATCTGGCCGCTACCAGCCGTAGCACATAACTTTGACTCAAGCATTGTCTGCGCAAGACAGGGAAAACCATGTTGATGTTTATAACTGGGCGTTGCAGAGACTGAATGAAGATCCACATTTTTTTCAGTACGTTCTCTTTAGCGACGAGGTAACGTTCCGGAGTACTGGATCGTTTAATCGACACAATTGTTATTATTGGTCAAGGGAAAATTCTCACTGGACGCAACACATTGATCATCAACATCGTTGGAAAGTAATCAACATCTTTGTTGAGAATTTCCGCCAGCGAATTGAGTTTATGTCTGCAAGTAAACGGTGGGAATGTTGAACAACTTTTGTAAATGCTCATTAACTTCCACACATGTTCGCGCTATTTTTTTCTTTTTTTTAGCGCACGGGATGCGAAGCAGACTTTACCTCCACGTGGTGCATCTTGCGTCACGCTAAAAAAGTCTGAATCTTCCATTTGGCCACAAAACTTTTTTTATGACATTTTTCGAGTAAAATGAGATGAAATTAAATAAATGATGAGGTTTCTGAAAACAACTGATCAAGGTGAACAAGTTTCATTACAGTAAAAAATGCGGTTGCCATTTGAAAAAAGCACTTCGTGCTTGCAGCTTGCAAGCGTGAGCTTGAAAAATCAAAATAATGACTACATCGGATGTCCCCCTCAAAACCCTACAATTTTTCAGATGAACACCCTGTATATTAACAGACGTTTTTCTCATGGGTCGGCAACGATCAAAGAATGGAAGAACATGTTTTGACATTTCTGAGTGAAATATGAAGTGGAGTGTGGAATACTCGGACGGGTCATGTGGTTAATATCATCGGATGTGACATGTTTGAAGACTGATCCTCCACTTTGGAAAATCTAAAGGGGATACAGGTTCTAACGTGTTTTTAGAAGGGCCATCTGGAAATGTCAAAGGGGGTGGTCTGGATAATGTCTACTTCACCACCCCCTCCCTCATCTTCAGCCGGACGTTGACAGGTTCAGACCTGTTTAGATGAAATGGCGCCAGAAATGGAAGGAGGGTTTAAAAATGTCAATAGTGTGTATAAATATGACTCCCTCCCCCCTCCCCCCCCCACGGACCGCGACTGATATCGTCATCAACCCTTTCACTCAATCGTCACCACCCTCCATTCACCAGGTATATCATTTCTTACCTGAGAATGCAATTAATTGAACCGCCAATAAAACCGCGAATTAAAACCGCGGATCTCGAATTAATCAACCAGCCATCCACTCAGCCGCCCTTGCGGAGGCCCTCTGGTCAGGTCTCCACTAGACCGTTGCGCCAGAATCTACTAATGAATTTGATAATTGATTAATTACTTAATTAATTAATTAGCGCGGATTAATTAATCCTTCCACCCACCCAGCCTCCTGGCGGGGGCCCTCTGGTCAGGTCTCCCCTAGACCGTTGGGCCAGAACTTGCCAATGAATTTGGTAATTAATTAATTAACTAATTAATCAATTAATTAATCAATAAGTAAATCAATCAATAATTAATTAATTAGCGCGGATTAATTAACCCTTTCACCCACCCAGACCCCTCGCTGGGGCCTTCTGATCAGGTCTCCGCCGGACCGTTGGGCCAGAACCCGCATTACTTATCTACTCAATTCTCCTCTTTCTCCCTGGTTGTCTCACTCCATTTCTTTTGGCCCTTGACATTGGCCGTGATTTTAAATTATTGGCCAATGCCGGCTTCATTTACATATTTCACTGGTTACGTGTTACGCCGACTATTACCTCCGGTGTGTACTCTGCAGAGTATCCCCATGGGGATCAGGTGGTCTGTGATGCCTGTCTGACGTGGAGGATTGCCCCGTAGATGGGCCTCAGAGATTACCCATACTGCTGTCAGTTTGTGTGCGGTTGCGTGAGTTTCGGAACCAGCTGCATCCTCATGGAATATTCTTTTAAGTCCGCACGGGATTTGAATTGCCCCGCGGGCCAATGTTATGACAGATATGAATGACGTGACTGTGTGAGGTTTTCGGTGGGTGTTTTTCATGGTTCCAGAACGTGGTGACTCATTACCCAGGCCTATAGGTAGTCCTCTCCGGTGGTTCCTCACTTCCTGTTGTTCCTAGTGAGTGAGAACTTCTCGTTGGCACTCATCATTCGACTTATTCCTTCATTCGCTTAATTCTAACCTCACTACTCGAGACCGGTGCATGCGAGCGTATTAATTTTATATTATTTCGTTTCCCCACACGTCCCATCGAGGACATAACGAACCCACTTCATCACAAATTTATCAATTACTAGCATGTAATGTGGCATAGATCAAATTATTCTTTGAAAAAGTTCTTGAGATATATGCTTGGTTCATAACTCACAATCCGTGGAGAATTTTTGGCTAAGAACGTAGTCAAAAAACTAAAAAATCGGAACAATTGAATTTTTATATATGGTAAAATTTCTTCAAAATTCCAAAAACTTGTTTAGGTCTTTTGAATGTCAAAAAAATTATCTGAGTCATTTCGATGGAATTAACATTTTCAAGGCACGAAACCGGACCAACGATTATGGAAAAAATCTGGAATATGTCCTGATTTACAATATAAGGAATATTATGAAGATGAATATTGTACCGATTTTTGATGCAATAATCATCATACTGAATGGAAATCATTTAGTATCCCTGATCTTAAATTAATCATTTGAAGAATAGATTTGAAGAATAGAGCGGAATTGATTCGAAATTTCCAATCAAAATAACCTAAGTTACTCCTGATAGAATTTTCTAATAAATAAGCCAAGATTTTTACTTGAATTTGTCCATACGTATTGTAAATGAATCCATCTAAATTAGATCATTTTTCTGAAAAATTGAAAAGTTTGTTTTTTGTTTGCTAAGGGTGAATCAGATATCGAGCAACTAGCAATGGTCCTGCGACAACTTGGTACACCAACAGTGGAAACATGGCCCGACCTTCACTCTCTCCCTGATTATAATAAAATAACGTTCCCCTACCAAAAAGGTATGCTATGGGAGCAGGTGGTACCGGATGTCACTTCAGAAGTCCTGGATCTCATTCGGAATATTTTGGTCTACAATTCATCGAAGCGGTTGACAGCAATTGATGTAATATTATTTTTTAAAAAATTCATTACAATTTTTGTGACCGTTTAAACTTTTATCTTAACGAAATTTGTGTTATTCATTTTCAGGCATTGAAACATAAGTACTTCTACACGCGACCTTACTCCTGCTGCATTCAAAGATTGCCCAAACCTCCTTACGATCATCGAAATTTACTGCGTCTGAAGGATATTGATCCTCTAGTTAAACCCACAGTGATATTCAAAGAAATATTGAATTTATCTTAATCTGAGACTGTTTCCATTATTACATACTAAAGGCGGCTCCTTGCCCACTTCACCCCCCACCCTCGGGGCCAGTAAAGTTTTATCCAAATCACACTGTTGCACTCAGCGTATAACAATACTCACGATATTATCATAGAGATACGATCACACGTCAGATGAATTACTGTGTGACTAATAATGTTTAAGAGTTCGTTTAGGTCAATTAAGAATTCATTTTCAATCACACATGAAATCAAATAAGAGAGTGTACTGAATGTCACTGCCAATGAATAATAATAACAGTTTTATGAAAATGTAAGTGGAGTTTAAAATTTGTTAAGACGATTTTACTTTATCGCTTCGAAGTGCCATTTTAGTTGCTTCCTTGACCACACGAAGATATTTATATACTAACCAAATAATCCACAAACAGGAACATATATACTCATTCAAGTCAGCGATGCCGAGAAATTTCAGGTCTTTGATTGAATATACAAATATGAAAGACAAGTATGTGATGCTATTGTTCGGGGCTCCCTGATGCGTTTAGGGCTCATAGGTACGTAGAGAGAGATACCAGGTTTACCGCTGCAGCGTCTCTATGTCTGATGACGCGGAGCAACTGCAATGGATTAAGAGTAGTTTACAAAAATGATAAAGGATTGAAGTAATAATCGTGGATAATATTCATGCTGATCTTTGTTTAGAAGTATTTGAAATGAATGATCTACTTTAAAAGAAATTGAGGGGACAGGATCGAATCGTTAATTCCTCTCCACAAAAATATCATTTGATAAAATTTACAGGGAAAAATTGTTTTGAAAAATCATTACGGATTTCCACTTATATTTTTTCCTTTTCACATTCTAGTGTGACTACTCGCACTTCACTCACAATATTAAAAGTCCTAGGCTGGGAAGTATAAATATCACTAATTCTTCAATTAATTAGGGTAGCACATCATCAAACTAATAACAGCAAATTATGGCTTTTATACTCGACAGAGTCCAACAGTAGATGTAGGAGGCCGTGTCTGGCTCAAACGTTTTGCGAAGGGTCAGAAGGGTCTGCCTCAGGGTGTCCCGCGAGTGGGTGCTAGGTGGCCGATTAATTCGCGGTTTAATTCGCGGATTTAATTCGCGGTTTTAATTCGCGGTTTTGATTAGCGGATTAATTCGCGGATTTTTGGGCCAACGCTGTAGGAAGGGTCGGTTCTTGAGAGGTCGCTCGTAAGTGGTAGGCAAATTAATCAGTTAATTCGCGCATTCTTGAGCCTGACGGCCTGCCCCCCCCCTCCCAGGCGCCTCCAATTAATCAGTAATTTCGCGGTTTTAATTCGCGGTTTTGATTAGCGGATTAATTCGCGGATTTTTGGGCCAACGCTGTAGGAAGGGTCGGTTCTTGAGAGGTCGCTCGTAAGTGGTAGGCAAATTAATCAGTTAATTCGCGCATTCTTGAGCCTGACGGCCTGCCCCCCCCCTCCCAGGCGCCTCCAATTAATCAGTAATTTCGCGGTTTTAATTCGCGGTTTTGATTAGCGGATTAATTCGCGGATTTTTGGGCCAACGCTGTAGGAAGGGTCGGTTCTTGAGAGGTCGCTCGTAAGTGGTAGGCAAATTAATCAGTTAATTCGCGCATTCTTGAGCCTGATGGCCTATCCCCCCCCCCCCCAGGCGCCTCCAATTAATCAGTAATTTCGCGGTTTTAATTCGCGGTTTAATTCGCGGTTTTGATTCACGGTTTTAATTCGCGGTTTTGGAGTGCAATGCTGTGGCGGAGCGTCGAAGAAAGCTTAAGCTATAAAAAGGATGGGACGTCAAATAAACAAAGAATATTTAAATTTAACTTTTTTTATTCATGAACATTACTGACTAAAATTTTATACATTATAGTTGTTACTAAAAGATATATATAGATAAATATTAATTTTTCACATAATTTTTTTCCATTAATTATGACATTTTACGCCTCGTGCTGCCATTGGATCATTGGCAAATTCATGGCACCAACACCATCACAACCCTCAGAGCTAATCCCCGTCAGGAGCTCCCAGCTCTCTCGAGGCACCAACATGTAGGCCCCGTTGAGAATCAGCAGCCATCCTTGCGGAGCCAGATCGATGGGTCTGGCTGGCCTCCCCATTTGCCCATCCTGAATCCTCCGCGTTATAAGCTCATCCAACTGAGCTCTGGAGATTTGGTGGGCCCAGGCTTCTGGGAAGTTGACTCCAGGTCTCAGCTCCACATACCCTGGATAACCCTGTAAGCAGAAAAAAAAAAGTTATAATAATTTTTGTTGATAAGGAAGAAGAGGCAGTGAGGGCTTAGTACTTACCAGAGCTGACGGGTAGAAAGTGAGATTTTCTACCTCCTGATGAGGCTGCTGATGATGCTGGGGATGATACCAAAGGTGCTGTTAATGCTCGGGCTGTTGATGGTGCTGGGGATGATGCGAAGGGTGTTGTTGATACTCGGGCTGTTGATGGTGCTGGGGATGATGCCAAGGCTGCTGCTGAGACTGTTGATGCTGAGTCTGTTGATGCAGCAGACACTCCTCATGATGCTGGAACTGTTGATCCAACTATCGTCATCATGATCATGATCATCATCATCATCATCATCATCATCCCCAAGCATCATTTGCTCCTCAGGTCTCCAGACATCATCAATTATGATGACGTCATCATCATCGTCGGTCTCCATTGCCACTTCCCGGCACGAACCTTCCCAGACGATGACGACGTCATCATCGTCGGTCTCCATCCTGTTGAGTTCCTGGCGGGGATCTTCATGAATGATGATGACGCTGCCATCTTCGTCCTCATCCTCAGCCTCTCCGTCTCCTTCTTCTTCTGCTCTTCTAATGGCCAACTCTCGCTCCGCTTGCTCCTCCCGAAGTCGAGCCTGGTACTTGGTGGTGCGCTCTTCAAAGTCCTCGTCGAGCAAGAACTCCCACATCAAACCCACTGCGGGATGAGCGGTGACCCACACTGTTGCCGGAGGGTCCAACATCACGTGGGCGGCCAAAAGGGGGAAATGTTGGAGAATGGCTTCATTCTCCGCGTGGAGAACCATGGTCTTCTCCAGCTCCTCGCACAGGTATTCCGCTGTATATCTTCTAACCCACTCCAATGGGCAGAAAACATTCTCCTTAATTGCCACGTATTCCTGGATGGGATTCATTTTGCACAAACACGAAAACTTCCACAAACACTTGGATGAACTGTTACGATTTCCGGTCGTTTGAAGACGTTGTGGTAGACTGTGAATTGAGGGTGACTGACATATGGCATTTATAGAAGTAAACTAACCCCACCACGAGAATTTTTCGGGGGTTTGCACATAGAAAAATGGCTAACACAGACCACTTACCTTACAAACAATAAAATACCCAAAAACTATTCGTATAACCCAGACCGAGTGCTTCATTACTTTATTGGTGGAGAAAACCTATCAGACCTCTCATTACTAGACCACCCTCGAAGAAAGAGGTGATCTGCTAAAATACCTATCCTTCCAACCATTAGGGGTGCACTGCTAAAGGCATCAACTCGAGATAGTAGACCGTTTTGGGGCAACCCCCTCTAGACTATGAAAAGAAAAAAAATCCCGTACAACAGCAATATCTGAGTTATAAAATTTGAAAAATCCATTACTTGTGAAATTAGGGGTATATGGAGAATTCCAAAGGTACTATCTGCATCGAAAAATTTGTACACTGCCTCAATTTTCAAATCATAAAATTTGAAAGGGTCATCGATTGGGGAATTGTCGGAAAGGTATACTCAATCCCTCTGGATAAAATCTGTACTCTACTCCGTTATCTGATCAGCAGATTTAAAAGCTATATGATTCAGCGAGAGTAAAAATGTGGAAAGCTGTAGGATCACTCTTATAAATCATGAGAATTTATCTGAAAAATCTCAAGAGCAGACTAGGATATGATGTTCAAAATACCTTGTNGAAATACCTTGTCTTCTATCTCAGAAAAACTTATTTTACACATGATTTATGACACCCCTATTTTCCTGTATTTCAGCTAGATAAGGGTAAGAATAGGTGTAAGAAAAAAAGTGAAAGTATTTCAGACTCAATTTTCTCTCGAGATAAGTGATCTTAAAATCACCTTTTCACAAAAAATTATCGCGTCATCCATGAAAATTTCTGTAAATTGTTTCCCTACATGATTTATCACCCTTATTCCCGAGAATTTTAGCTAGATCAGGCTTAAAAGAGTAAGAATGTAAAAAAAATGAAAGCTTTTTAGACTCAATTTCCTTTCGTGATAAGTGATCTTGAGAACACCTTTTCACAAAAAATTATCTCGCCTTCTGCGAAAACTTCTATCTTTGTATTTTTTCACGTGATTTACCCCCTCCCATTGTTTAGACTATAAAGCCGAGGTTTTCCATGATTTTCCATCAGTTCTTACGTAAGACTTACGAGTAACGTTTCAATTTTTGTCACGATGAATTCTCTTGTGTGCAAGCAGTGGCTCAAGCGTTTGGAGGAAGAATATGATATCGTGAAGATGGAGCGAAGACCAGCGGAAATCCAACGAAGTCTCCATGACATCCGTGGTAAGACGCGAGAGGTCGAACAACTTTTGGATGAGGGTGTCTCTCAGGGTCAAAAATTGCGTTTGACATATATGTTATCGCGATAGAAAACATTCGAAGTTTCATTTAAAGCCTTGGAAACCGTTGGAAGAGGGTTGAGTGATAAGTTAACTGATAGAGTGCGATGGGAGGATATTCAAAGTGCATTTGAAGGACGCATGGTCATCATTAATTGGAAAAAACAAGATTTAATTAAATTTTTGAATGATGCTCGCCGAATGGTTTGTGTGCGACTTAAAAATGCTTTAAAAAAGGAACGTGGTTTAAAAGTGAACGTAGTGTTATCGTGTGTGGGATACTCGGGAATGTTGGACGGGTTGATGAAATTATAACACGCGTTATAACAGTAGAAATCGAATGGAATTTATTCACAGCGAATGTGTCGATGTTTACACCTTGAGAACTATGACGAATCTGTCTCTCGCAACGATATAGGCAATTAGATCATCCGATCGAGGGTGCTCGAAATATGACGAATCGTCACAAGGTGACGTAGTCAGGTATTCGGCTGCTAAGCCGGTGCGAATACAATATAGTGAAATAATTCGAACGATCAATAAGTAGCTTCGCTACAATACTCCCCTTCTGTGTCGGAAAAAAAAGAGGGAGTTAGCTATGTACAATATATACAATATAGGCAAT